AATAATGTTTGAATGGTGACGATAATAAGTGCGGGATGAATATTATAATTATTAAACTTTAATTAAATTTTTGTAACACTTTAAATTTTTCAAAAATAAATAATTTTAATATTAAGTGTTTAAATTGACAAAATATAACTACATAAAAATTTGCAGATTTTTTTAATTCCAAAAAAAAAAAAAATGGAACGCACTTGAACCGCATGTGAAACACAGCTTATTGTAGACTTGTGCGTTCTCTTCATAAATTCTTCCCGCATTTGCTTTTTATTTTTTAATTTTTAAATAAAAATATTGAAACACACAAAAGAAATACTTATGAATGGTGACAATAAATTGTTCCACACCCCTAACCGTCCTAACCGCCCGAAACATCGCAGCCATAATACAACGAATAGAAAAAGGAGGGGTAATATACTATTATAGTAAAAATCAATACCATAAAAATACGTGTTCAATGATTACTAGTTAATTAGATACCGAAACTCTTATTTTTGTGAGTGGAGGAAAATATTTGATATAATTTTTGGTATCATTGTGAGGTTGACCATCTTACCATATCATATTATTGTGGAAGTGCGATACCCACACTTACACACACATAATAATTAGTATAAATCATAAAACAATGCGGTTTTCAACTAGGATTAATGTAAATTTATCACTTCAAATGTATACATAATTTTTGTTTTATCGTGGGTCCAATGTCGAACTTCCAACTAGAGAAACAGGTTAATTAACCCAGATAAAAACGTATATATAACATACTTATATACATAAAAGTAGTTAGGGACTTAGTGCATGTACAATTGTCGGATTAGACTATAGAAGGTGGTTTATTCCTTTGGAAGTTGATCTCAAGTAAATTAAATAAAAAAACCTTTTATCAAAAAAAGAAAAGAAAAAATATCATTCATTTAAGGTTGATGGTGTATCATGTCTCTACACAAAATCAAATAGTTTTTGGGTTAGTAGCATGTCAAATGATCTGAAAATGCGCAATACGTAAATGTTTATGATATAAACTAACCAGTTTTAGAAAATGTTGTTAGTGATCGATCCTCGTCGTGATCATGATGAATGCGACGACATTCAGCAAGGACAACAACTTTGCTTCGAAACCTATCACAATAACATATAAACGAAAGTAATACTAATAAAATATTTATCTACATTTTTGTGATATATGTTAATTGAAATGTGCTCATTAATGACGTTGAAGTACACTCATCTCATGATGACATTCATTCACCGTCCCGATAGATATAACAGCAAACTAAATTGGTTAATTATACAAAATCCTAGTTTAATTCGATTTAAATATATTCATAGTAACAACCCTACTTTTTACATAAATTAGAAATTTAGTTGTTTATTTTCCAACTCGAAATCAGTTGACAATAAATTTATGATAATTCTAATACGTAGTCTCGAGGTGATTACTCTTCTAATCATTCATGTTTTTTAAAATCACTACAGAATTAGTGTTATCTTAGATCGAATTTCGGATAAGATCGATTTCGGTGTGGGTTAGAGCAGCAAAGT